CCCCAAAACCCCAAAACCCCAAAACCCCATCAGGTTTACTTTTTTAGATTTTTGTAAAATGTAAAATTTATCAAGATATTATATAATCTCTTATTAATTTGTTTCAATAGTCTGTAGTATTTATAAGGGAGAATCCTCCGCTGTAATTGAAATATTAGGTTGTCCTTAATTAGTTTTTTGCGTCAAATATAAAGATTTAGTTTGTGTAATTTGTGAAGTAAAGAGTGGAACTCTTTTTGTCAAAGTAATTATCTGGATTTATCCGATTAAGCATTTAGCATGTTCTTGACTCTTCTTCACCAGCAGTAAGATCTTAAAAATCAATATCCAAAAATTGGCCTTAAGGTTTAGAAGCTAGTTCAGACTCTTTCTTTTATTTTTATTCTTAAATATTACTCTCATCTAAATCTGGGAATCTTAAACAATATGTTGAATCAATTGACATCATTTTTCTAGTTCCTCCAAATATTAAAACCTTCCTTGTCCCTTTACCCCATTCATTTGTTAAATCAAGATCTGTGATATCAATACAACCCTCACTTAACCTGAATTAAGTATATTGATTGAATGTTTTTTATTAAAAGCCATTTGTAAACTTCATATCAATCAATTCCCATGACTCAGATATAACGATCTAGCCATTTTAAAGGCTTATTTTTAATCATTCTATAGATCCTTGCGGACAATAGCAACCATTAATCACATAGATATACACACAACTAGAATTTTTGTTATCATCAAACTTTACTAGAGCAGAGTCTATTCTGTATTTCTAGTTATCAGGAATAACATATTAATAGTTTGGCTAGGGAATTTTATTTTTCATTCCCAAAATATAGTTTCTATTTGCAAAAGAATTATCTTAATCCTTTCCTCCACAAATTATAATTCCGTCAAGTAGTTTAATGCTCAGAACTGAATATCTTCTTGTATATTTTTCTTCCATATCACACAAATATTCTATATCTTTTATTTTCCTAGATAACTAATCTTCATGAACCTCATATATTTAAGAAACTTCTCCAATATTATCTTATCCTACTACCTCCAAGTTATTAATCATTATCACTCTCTTACGATGTCTAATTACTCTGTATCAATTAGATTAGAAATTTAGCTTAAATGACTCACAAAATATTGGTTAATCTGGAAAGATTTTAATTCTATTTAAAAATGCTTAATCTTCTGCATAAAGATTATTGTTGCTACAATAGAGTACTTTAAAAGGATTTTAAATCTTTTGAATTTTCAAGCTCATAGGTATTATCTTTTTGTAAAACTTTTGACTCAAAATTTGCAAAGTTGATCTATCCCTGTGATAAATATATTGCAATATTTCTTGGATAACACTAGATTAGATCATCTAAATTTGCAAGTTTATATTTTCCATTTAAAATTATAAATTAACCCACTTTTTATATTTAATTCTCCCTATGGGGTTTTGGGGTTTTGGGGTTTTGGGG